GTATGTTTTTGTTATTGTTTGATTGTTGAAATTCTCTGAAAAAGACTCTCAGGAGGGTAGCATTTCAGACATCACAACCAACCCCTCTCCCACCGACTCAAGTTTTGCACTTGACTTATATTTAATTTCCCCACCCACACCTAAACGAGTAAGTGTGATAATCCAATTTTAGCCAATTAGTTATTAAAATAGTAAACAAAGTCCTGCCAACTTATTTCTTAAGTGCTTATAAATAGTTTGTCAAGAGAACTGCCTTGAAAAATATCAGCAAACATTAATCACTGGCTGGAAAAAAATAATTCCAGCACCCTTATAGTTTGGAATTAGGGGTTATAAGTTCTTTGTTATCTAATTCCTTTACATTTTGGAAGTGAAGAGATTTTTTTTGAGGGTTTGCTGTTACTAATTATCATTTAGAAAAATCTTCAGCCTTTTCTAGATTCACAAACCAGGCTCTGATTCCAGAATCTACCAGCATTTACCCCCCCCAAAAAAAAACACTAATTCTGCTTCCCATTTTAAATTCAAAATCTTAATATATTTTCAAATGGAATGTATCTGTGAAGGGACAAAATGAATAAAGACATGAGGAAAAGCTATTCTAAGCTGATGGGTTTTGTCAAATCATTTGCCTTGATAAAGTCCCTCAGAGGATGAAATATGTTGGCTAAGAAATTATATATATATATATATATATATATATATATATATATAATATATATAAATGTTCACCAACAGTATGTTGTATGTGATGATTTCGTAATGGCATGCTTTGAATGCCTAACCTGCACTAGCGTGTGCAAGTCAAAAGTCAGGCCTGAAAAAGGCAGATTGAAGTGATGACCAGAGTCTCCTTTCACCACCTGAGATGATTTGATATGCCACCTATGTGACAAGAAATGCAGATCAATGGCTGGCTTTATGAGTCTGTATACATTGGTTGTGTGAATGACAGTGTTGTGGGGTTAAGTGAAGGGTTGGACATGTCAGTGATGGCCATACTCACTTTCCAAGTCAACAGCAACTATATATATATATATATATATATATATATATATATATATATATATATATATAATAAATGTGTGTGTGTATTCTAGAACTTATGCTGCACGTGGGGCGAACAGTTTGGGTTGGAACTTTGCAATCGATTCTCTCTCCTCCAACCAAGCTCAGAGCCTCAACCAGAAATTGAATGGCAGGCTCTCAAATCTGCCACTGTCGAAGCGACACACACCCATCTTGGTGTCACCTGTCACCGATATCGGGACTGGATCACTGGGGAGAGCCTTTGGCTGGTGGAGAATGCAAGGGTAGTGCGACTGACAGGAGCTGTGATCTTTCGCGATCTACGGTGCCACTCAACGCACTCCATCCGTGCTGACTGAAATGCGCATTGGCACGCCTTTGCCGAAGAGACTGAGCGTGCAGCAGCCTGTGGTGACTCTCACAGACTCTACCAGATAGTGAGGCAGGCGAGTTGCGGAATTACGGTGGTGAGTGAGACGCTTCACTACCAAGATGGGGCTATTATCACAGGTCTGGGCAAGCGGCTAAATCTGTGGGAAGAGCATTTTAACGAGCTACTCAATCATCTGACTGGCGATGGAAGTGGCCGTTGAACCGACCGATGAATACGACTGCAACACTGCACCCCAACAGTAGATGAAGTGAGAGATGTTCTGTGCCATCTGCGTAACAAGGCTCCTGGTAAGGATGGCATACCTGCAGAAGTATATAAAGCCGTGCCAGATGTATTCGCCTTGTGGGTGCATCGTGTCTTCAATGTGGTCTGGCTCTCTGAGGTCTACCCTGCCGATTGCAGAAAGGCCATCCTACTACCTTTTTTCAAAAAGGGTGATAGGAGACTCTGCTTGAACTACAGAGGAATCAGCCTCATCGACGTAGTGGCCAAAGTATTTGCAGTGCTTCTTCTGCGAAGATTTCGAGGCATCTGTGATCTGCGAACTTGCCCGTCTCAGGGTGGCTTCCGCCTGGGCAGAGGCTGTGTTGATCAGATCTTCAGCCTGCGGTGCACTCTCGAACAATGCTGAGCATACCAGCAACTGACAGTCCTCTGCTTTGTTGACTTTGCGGCTGCTTTCAACTCCGTTGATAGACATGGAGGTCAATGGCATGCCTGCTAAACTCCTTCGTCTCATCAAGGGCTACTACCGGTCGACGCGAGCCCATGTTCATGCTTATGGTGAGGAATCGGAGACATTTGAGGTGAAGACGGGTATGCCCTATCCCCTACCCTATTCAACTATACGATCGACTACATCCCTCCAGGACTATGCTGGAGTTGCAGTTGGTCGGAATGTCAGGATGTCTGATCTGGCCTACACGGATGACATTGTCACAGTTCGATCCGACCAAGACAATGTGCAATCTGCAGCATGGGATGTGGGTATGACCATCAATGCCTCGAAGACCAAAGTTATGCCGTCCATTGTTGATCCAGTCAACTGGCAGTCACTGATGCTGGACAGGGTTAATCTGGAGGACCTGCAGTCTTTCTCAGTTTAACCATTATGCCATCCAGGCAGGCTGCTGCTGAGGTTGAATGCCGTATAGGAGCTGCAAGGTCTGCATTCATGCGTCTCAAGCAGTCACTATGGGGGTGATGGGAGATTTCCACAGCTACAAACGGCGCGTCTATCAGGCTATTGTTCAGACTATACGTGAAGTGTTCGACAACGATTGCCTTCGCTGCACTCTATGATGCCGCCGAATTGATCATGTGCCTACAGCCATGCTACATCGTCACCTGAGTCTCCGTCCTCTTCCAGCATCATCTCCGATGGTTTGGGCACACAGCTCGACGCCCGGAGGGAGAGCTCATCTGTGATGTACTTCTCCCTCCTTGCTCGGGAAGAAGCTGGTTCAACCCAAACAGGGTGAAAACCGATACAAATCAAGAGTCGAGAACTTATGAGACACACTTATTAGCAAGTCTCAATTCTATACCTCTGATAAGCTAACCTGCCAACCATCATTATTCCAGATTGAAGGAGACAGCTGAATAATTTGCAGAATGCAGTTGGGATATTGAAGACAACTTGGTAGCTCATTATGCCAGAAAGTTTTATGTTGACAGAGTTGGGCATCAAACTGTCTTTCACCCTCCCTACAGTCCAGACCTTGTTCCCTGTGACTTGGTGGTTCCCCAAGCTGAAGGAGACCTCAGGGGAAGTCGTTTTGAAGACATTGAGAAGATGGAGGCTGTGACAAGGGTCCATGTTGGATGACTTCTATGTGGCATTCATGATATGGCTGGTGCACCACAAGTGCATTAAAGTCAGCAGATCCAACTTTCAAAGAGATTAGTTCTGCATTTCTTTGAAATTAATAATTGTCTCCTCTGAAAATGTCTCAATACTTCTGGAATGCACCTTGTACATAATGGCTGGCCACTTGTTTCCAAATTTGTCTGCTAATGCAGTTAGCCAGTCCCTGTTGCACATTTGTATTTATTCAACACCCACAGAGCCAACCTGTGGCTTATAATTACAACTAAGCTGAGAAGACCTCGGTTACAGCTTTTGGAAGAGAGTGAATAATCTGGTGTGATTAACAGTTTGAACAAGAGTGCAAAACTGTCACGAACAGTTCTATCTACCCAATTTCACTCACAAGACTTGGGTCACCTCCTCGAGTCAATATTAAGGAGTCACCTTCCTGACAAATTAACTGTGGCTGCCTCATAGTTAAGCTAATTATCTAATCTAACTATGCAACCACATGCATGCACAAAAGGGTAAGTCAAAAATTATCTGCATATGCATGCTTATAGTTGGTACTATTGTGGTTATGTGATCAATGTTTGAGCTTGATTGCACCAGTTTTCTTGCTGCTGTTACAGTGCAAACATGGACACTTCACTAGCAGTGTGCACCAATGAGGAACAAAGAGCAGTGATGGCTTTCAAATGCTTCTCTATCTACCCAATTTCACAAAACTTGGGTTTAACTGTTTTAATTTGTTATTAGTTAGTATTTTGCAGGCAGTCAAAAATGGATTTATTTTCTGCAGGTTATTTAAAGCCAGAAAATTTTTTTTTTTTTGAGATAATAATGATTTAGTGATACAAATCTTACTAATTAAGTAAGAGGATTCATGCACACAAATATTCTTGGAAAAAGTGAGTGAATATAACAAGTCTAATTGAAACTCTGCTTTCTGATCAACAATTACAATTCATTGTCCAGTATACAACATGCACATCCAAGTGGCATTCCCAAACAATCACCAACATTGTTTAACTTTAGTGACTGTAGGCAAATATAAATACTGCATATGATGCCAAATAAGAACCCACCCACATTCTTTTCAAAAATAATTCTCTGTGAACAAATAATCATGCCACAGAAAATTTATTCGAAAAAGATTGTGCACATCACACCAAATGAACATTGTGCTTGGAAATTATTTAATCAGGCTAGAACTTCTGTGGTTGGGACTAGGCTCCCTGTTGGCTAATTTTATCCCCAACATTTTATACCTCATGTGATTCCATAACATTGCCTAAACACCATTGTTGGTATTGTGAAAGAAATTGTAACAAATTACTAGCAATGTTCATTGGTACCAGCTGGTCAATCCTACCTAAATATACATGAACACACTCTTATCATTAACTGACTGGAAACAACACAAGAAAGGACATAATTGAAAAGAAATACTTGTAAATGGTATAACATTGAGAAACAAAAAAAATACAGAAAAATGTCTGATACCTAAAACAGCTACAGAGAAATAACTTGTGAAGGGGGGTTCATTTGTTTCCATGGGGGTCAGTACATTCCATTGGCCTGGAATAGACAAGCATTTAAGGGAATTAAATGCACTAGAAATGTGGGTCATGAAATTTTAAGAGCTAGGGATCTGAGAGAAGAAACAACACATGATATTAAAAGGTAAATTTATTATCCTGATTAACAAGTCAGATCTTTTGTCTTTGTCATAAGTAATACAAGCTTTCTTTCTTTCTTTTTAAATCATTCCTTCCACAGAACTTTACCATTTTCTTGTAGGACTGCTTTATCACTGGCTACCATTTCCAGAGCAGACGGGTAGGCAATGTGTTCAAGTCTTTTCACTCTCTCGGACAAACTTGCTTCTGTATCAGACGTGAAAACAGGAACAGATTTTTGAACCAGAATGGCACCAGAGTCTATTTCTTCCTGAAAATATGAAAGTTTTTGTTTGTTTTTTGGGGGGAAAAAAAAAAAAAAAAGAAGGTAATTAGGCAAGACAGACACAGATAAAAGGAAAAAAAAAAATGAAGTATTTTAGCTTTACTTGGTCAGACCTTTGAGCACCAAGATATGAGAAGGTAATCATTTCAGCCAAACACAATTGCATGACATTTGATGACCTGTCCTATCAAGGGAGATAAAGAGAAAAGGAATTTGATTTTAAAAAAAAAAAAAACTTGGAGGAAAAAAAATTTTGCCTTAAAAAAAAATATTCAATATTTCATGATTTTATCCGACACATCTTTTGCAAACATCTGCTTTAACGCCTTCCCTGGTGCAGAAGTGTATATATGTTTTTATTGAAAGTATCATTTTCAGACATGGACAAATAAAGACATTCAAAAACTAGCTACAGACATGTTTATACATCAATCGTGATTCTTTTTATACCTTTTCAGAGCTTGAAATGAGTTCAATTGTCAACTCATAAATCTGGTAGAGGGTGTTATATACCTCTCTGGTACTTCAAGGTGCCTCAGTTTCTTAGTTACTAAATTAAAAACAAATAAAAAAATGTCTGAAAATGAAACGTTTTTTCCTAAAATAAATAGCAGGGAAAAGATTAATATGTATGATTTACCCAAATTGGGCTCTTATACATAAGCCGTTGATTTTTTAATTTATTTTATGACGTATTTCAAATGTCACTGGTAAATTTTTCCCCTTCAATGTTATGGTGTGTCAGCCATTTGTCAAATATGTTTAACAATGTTTGTATGTCACAGTAGTTGTTGCTGTTGATAAAGTATTCCATTTTTTTTTCTCTCTCCCATATCGTTGTTACCTTAGTTTCTGTGTGTGTGTGTGGCTGATGTGCTTTCCCACATATTTTGGTCAAAACAATTGAGAACATTGTCTTCCATGTCTATTGAATTGCAATTTTTTTTTTTTTTTCTTCATCACCCCCAGCCATCTTTAGATTCAACCATGTTGCTCTCATCAGATTCTTCACTGACTTTTATATTAAGATTTGTCAGCTTTTTTTTTTAATTTTTTAAACTCATTTGATAGTTTTTTTAAGTTGTTAGCTGATATTACCCATCTTAGGTCTTTTGTCGGGTATCTGTCTATATTTCTGAGATGAGGTATTATGTACACTGTTTACATTATTCGGACTATTGTCCTCATCTTTGTTGCGATATTTATCATGTTTTGGCTGTTGTATGCTCCGGCCTTCTTCAGGTGGTTGGAATGTCAAATGGCACTAGAACAGTCTACCCCAGTGAACGAAATAAAGGGTTCAGTTTGACATTCCACCCACCTGAAGAAGGCCGGAGCATACAACGAACGAAACATTGTAATAGAAACGGCGACAAAGATGAGGACAATAGTCTGAATGGGTTAAATATTTTCTGGTATCTTATGTTGCATTGATTTAGATGCACACTAGATCACATTTTCTTAAACATTATAAAACTGTGCATGTTAGTCAGATGCCAACATGAAGTGTGGGACATCAGTACAATTTTTTTTTTTTTTTATCTTACTTGCCTTTTGAAGAAAGAACCGTCATTTTTTCTCTTAGAAAGTTTTCCTTTTGTATTTCTTTGCATGGCTCCCATTTAAATTTGTTTTATAAACAAATTTGCATACCAAAGTTGTTCTTTTTGTTGTTGAAGATCTAGTTAGTTCCATCATTATCTCGGTACATTGTGTTTTATGTCTTCTACAGCATCTTGTTCAAGAGGTCCGTATTTGCAGGTTGTTGCAATATCCAGACATCCATCCCAGGAAATGTTTTTGTTTGTTGCTGAAACTTAATTCCAGTGACAAAATTTAAAATTGTTCCGTTGACTGTGTAATTATCTCCAACAAATACACTTGTCAGTTTTTTTTTTTTTTTTTTAGGTAATGGATGTATTTGCCCATTTGTTAACGAACATACCCCTTGTTTCAGTTTTATTACTGTTGGCATCACATTCTCCGATTGTGAAAATCGCAAATTTTGGTTGAATATGATTATCGATTCGAATCAGTTGTGCAGTTTGAATTTCTATTTACTATGTTTTGTTGGGTATGCGTAGATGTATTTGTAAATAGACGTTTTTCTACCTTTACCAGTACCACCAGTTGTATTAGATGAAATCCTGGTGACATTTATTCTTAATAAGTTGCCATACCAGTACCACCAGTTGTATCTGTCTATATGAAATCCCATTTACACATTTATTCTGAACCCTAAGTTTTTGCCATATCCCCTTAATTTATGATTTTCCAATGGTGTTCTTTGTCTATGATCTCAACCTGATGCCACAGAGGGTGGTGATCTCCCTTTTTTCTCCTGAGCCAACCAAGTATAGAAATGAATACAATATGGGAAGCAGTAATAAGGAGTGCCAGAGAAATTGCAATATGAGCTCTGGTAAAAAAAAAAAAAAAATGGTTGCTGAAGACATTAGGTTTATAATACCCAGAAATTCATACACAGATGTCCTCAAGGACACATGGGTTAGTTAGATCCAGTGACAGGACCCAAAGAGTGTGAGTTCAATACCCGACTAAGGCAGTGGAGAACTTTCAAAGATGGAACTAGAACAGTCTACCCTCATGAGCGAAATAAAGTGTTCAGTTCAACATTCCAACCACCTGAAGAAGTCCAGAGCGTACAACGGCTGAAATGTTGTAAGAAATATGGTGACAAAGATGAGGACAATAGTCCGAATAATGTAAATAGTGTACTTTCAAATTGCATGGGTTTGATGTTAAGAAATATGGTACAATGTAATCTCCCAATTACACCTTTCCAAAAAATATAACAAAAGCAGCAACAAGAACATTTAATGGAGGTGGAGACAATGCAAGGAGCCTCTCTTCTCCTTCCAAGGTATTCTAGATCAGGCAAAAAATGGAGTACTGTTGCCATATCCAGTCCTCACTTTCCAGTCTTGATAGAGTTTCCAACCCCTCTCTCTCTCACAGGTGAGATGAGGCAAGCCTCTCTCTGTTACTATCATGGAAAGTGCTGAGATGAACTAAATTCATTGGTTCTGTCAGATCTAACCTTTACGGCAAGAACACGCCATGCCACTGACATTGTAGCAAACCACCCACATTCCACCAGCGATAACTAAGTTCCACAAACAGCTTCTTCTCATGAACCATTGCCCTGTAGAACAGACTCCCAAAAGGATGGTTTTCCAATCACTACAATCTTGACCTGTTTAAGTCTACAGTTAACCATTATCTTTCCCTCCTGTCCATATGAACTACCCCTTAACGAGTGGCTCTTGAGCCTTGTACTGGGTGAACCTTACTGTTGAGGTTGTGGCACATGTTTGTAACAATCATAACTGGTGTTCAACAACTGGTTCTGTCAGGGATCTGTCCATGATCTGATTTCCGGCAATGTGATCATGCTGTTGAAAAAAAGACAAGCATAGTGAGAGGGAATGAGATGATTACAGGCCCATAACTCTGCTCAATACAGAGTTAAAGATTTTGGCAAAGATCCTGACAGCACGTTTGCAGTTGGTTGTTGAGATTCTGTTGGGACTGGAGCAGAATTGTGCCGTGAAAGGCCAAACAATTTAGAGCAACCTGCATCTGACCCTGTATATATTTTAATAAAAAATAGTAATTGTACATAATACTGATGCCAGTACAGCAGATGATTGTGGGACTAGGCTATTTTTGGACTTGGCCAGAGTCCACGCACTCAGCCCTGCCACATTAAACTGACCTTGTGTCACATCCTGCCAGTGTGGGGTGGCAAGGATATACAATCTCTTCTTTTGGCAAAGATCAAAGTGTAGTCTCTGTTCTTCTCAGCTTAATCTGATTCTCTCTCTTCACATCTTTCATTTTCTCACTGAAACCAAGTAAGGTCTTTTCCCCATCTTTTCACACAATAGTTCATTATTTATGAGGTATTGGCAGGACGTAACGGTCAGGCAAACTAACAAAGGGAGAGACAAGCACAATAGGATGCTATTATTGCTTTAGATGTCTGGAAAGTTTAAATTCTGGTTCAGTCTGATCTTAGTGTGAAAGTGAATGCAACAATCAGAAAAAAACTTCTTCTCCCACAAGGTATTATTTAACTCGATACAAGGCCCAAAAGCTACTCAAGGTAAAGGGTTCCTGAATGAAGTTGTTGTAAGATGTGAATATTATGAGGATATGTAGGATAGATAATGGTAGACACTAGAATTGAAGAGGTTAAGATCATAGTGATCAGAGAAGAATAATCTGGGGAATTTGTTCCACAACATAGCTGTTCTGGAGAAGCTGCCGCCCAAGTGAAATTTTTTTTTTTTTTTTTTTCAATAGTTCACCCCAAGCAAGGCAATAACACCACTAAGATACAAGGTGCTAATGGAAGAGGAGGAGAAAACTTTAGAAGGAACCAGAAACGCAATAATAGTATGAATTTCAGAGTTTAGGTAGAGATATTAGAAGTATAGTTTGAAGTAAACTTTAGAAAGAACTGGAAACCCAATCTTAAACAGGTAACAAGGGATAAACATCTACTCCTGTTCAAAATACCACGGAGGAGTGTAAACCAGATGATAGGTGCACCTACCTAATCTTATTGTGAAGAAAAAAAAAAAATAAATAATAAAAATTTCAGGGTTTACGTGGAGATGTTAGAAGTACAGAGCTAAAGTAGAATTTAGAAGGAACTTTCTTCTTACGAAGTGAATGTGGTAGCCTTGGCTGGCAGCCAGTCAAGGAGATGGATATCCCCAACTGAATAAGGCAACGAGAAACCCCTCCTAAGAAGTAACAGCATTCTCAAGCATATTAAAAGAATAAGAAGAACGCTTAATAAGAAACTATTTAAAAATTAACTCTTACTCTTTCACTTACTTACCGCAACAAAATGCACTGTGCAGCCAGAAATGCGCACCCCAGATTCTAACACCAATTTGTGAGCATTTGCACCTTTAAATGAAGGCAATAAGGATGGGTGAACATTCAGAATGCGACCAGTCCACTTCCTTACAAAACTTCCTGAAATGCAAACATAAAAACAATTGAAATAAACTAGGTAGATATCTATATAAAAAGATCACAGAAGTAAACTATAATGATGATGATAAAGCATCAGATTCCATAATGACAAAGGGGCAATCTTTAACTTTCATGGAACGGACAGTTTTCCCCTGATACTGTTATTATTCTAACTTTCAGTCCCTTGTTGTTTAAAAAAAAAAAAAAAACAATGATTAGAATTTTAACAAACCCAAACATACAAAAGTGAATTTATACATTTTCTTTGTTCTTTGAGAATTTACAACAAAAATATTAAATACTGTTTATTTATAAGAATTTTAAATTTACATCATTCTAAAATTGTAAACCAACAAATGCAAAGCAATATTTATCATTTAATAAACAAAGAAATGAAAAATTTATAAAAAAATGTCTGTCAAACACGAAAATTTAAATAAACAGATAATGACAACTAACTAATTATAAATTTTGGAAAAAGATATTTTCTGAACATTTCTTTCATTTGATATCTTTATAAAATGGTTGTAGCATACCTATGGACATTAATGATAAAATGTCAGATTAATAAATAAAAAAACCATTACTTATTTAGAAAATATAAACATCTAATAGCATCAATCAGCTAAGTGACAAATTTTATTATATATATATATATATATAGAGAGAGAGAGAGAGACATTAAGTTTGTATACCTGATCATCAAATTCACAAAAGATTATTTCTAAGGGAGCCATAAAATAAAAAAAGTATTTGACAAATTGAAACCTCTTAATTATTGTAACATTTTCGAGAATTGAATTCAGACGACACACATTTCCACTAATTTTGATATCACAAATGACAGTTATGAAAATGATCGTTTTTTGAATGTGAAACATTTTTTTTTTGTCTTTAACGTAAAAACTGAGCAACTCCTTTTTCTTTTTTTACTTTTTTTTTTTCCTCCTCCGGTATTTATATTACCTGAAAGAATTCTCATGAAACCTGCAAGACAGACCAAGTCAACATTGGCATGCACCAATTCTTCATGGACAGCATCATCAAATTCTTCACGGCTCTTGTAAAGCTTATGGTTGATTACCTGGGCAAAAAGAAAAAGGAAGCAATTTCTAGAATGAGGAGTTATCACTTACATTTAGATGAATGTCTTCAGGTTTGTTGAAACTTTCGATAACAAGAAATATGAACACGAGGACTTATTATTTGAAAGCAGCAGAAAACTTATTTTAGAAATCTGATAAAAATGCATTTCTCTGATGTCTTGACTATGTGCATAGGCCAAGGATCAGAAAAGTTAGATTATATTTTATTTTACAAGTGTTCACCCAATTCGAACCTCAAGAGCCACTCAAGGTAGAGGGTTAGGGAATGAGGTAAGAGTAGGAAATAAGGATGATGTGGATATGGAAGATAAATAATGATTGACACTGGACTTTGGGGAAGTATCCACATGGGAGACTTTTCAAGAAATGCTGCTTTGTGGGACAAAGAAAATAAACCTAAGTGGAACTTCCTCCTTACAATTAGAATACAGAGGGAAGATTATTTTAACAAAGAAGATGAGGAAGAAGTGTGTGGGAGGGGAACCAAGGTAATTTAATTTACATATTCTGACTAACATCCTCATGTCTTCTGCATAAGCAAGTCCAAAATAAAATTCAATGTTTAGCACATAAATGTTTTAGCTGAAAATTATTCAAGTGTGGTCTTGAAACAAAGTCATATCTGACCTTCCGCCTAAATTTGTGAGAGTGTAATATTCGCCATCATGTTTTGAAGTCAAAATCTAGTCATATAAACCACCTTAAACCTAATGATAATGTCCACAATCTTTATGGTGTTCCTCCAAGACCAACTGAAAAGGTGTGTGTGTGATATGTGGAAAAAATCGGTAAGTCTCGTCTTCATCTGAAAAGACGCTTGAAGGTCCATGAGGATGACATTACTCAATTTCATCCAATGAATCCTGTTGAGATGACCTCTTTTATACATCACATATGCTTCAAGCCATGCAAATCCATTATAAGTGAAAATACCTTAAAGCCAATGTTCATTTACAGGTTGACAATTCAACAATAAGATGGAAACCATCTATAAAGACAGAGCATTCATCACATGTGAAAAAAAGTACAAATAATTTTCCTACATGAGCAGAAGTATTCAATAAATCGATATAAGAATAGAAATACAATATTCTTGTATTTCAAACAAATAAAAGGCCATACTTTATGACTTTACCCTTTGTCTGGAAGCCAAAATTGACAAGTGTAAAGAAAGAAAGACAAGGGTAAAGAATAAAGAAATCTTAGAAAAGTGTAGAGAAAAAAAAGGTAGACAAGTGTAAAGAATAAAATGTAGTCAAGTGTAAAACATGTAGGCAATTGTAAAAAAAAAAAACAACAACAAAAAATTGCCCAGCATAAAAAAAGGAAGACAAGTGCAAAGAAAAAATGTAGCCAAGTGTTAAAAAAAAAAAAAAAAAAAAAAAGGTAAACAAAATTAAATAAAATAGGTAGACAAGTATAAAGAAAAAAGGTAGACAAGTGTGTAAAAAAAAAAAAAAGGAGACAAGTGTAAAGAAAAAAAGTGAAGTGTAAAAAAAAAGACAAGTGCAAAGAATAAAAAAGGTAGACAATTGCAGAAAAGTGAAAAAAAAAGTAGACAAGTGTAAAGAAAAACAAAAAAGGTAAACAAGTGTAAAGAAAAAAAGTTGATGAAAAATAAATAAGCTTCTGACAAGATTTGTAATAATTCATAAAGATCTGTCATGATAAGACAAACACAAGGGATGCAAGTTCAAATCTGGCCTGAAGAGTATTCTTCATTTTGAGTCATGTTTATTACTTCAGGGTTAGAGAGAGAGAGAAACTCATTGTTGCAACAATAACAAAAAAAAAAAATACTCAAAATGAACAGTGCCAACAAAACCTCAAGTAAGTTAAGAACGAGCATTACTTCCAATTTGCATTTTCTGATGAATCTTTATTCTTAAGATAATGATTGAATAAGCTCCTTATAAATTCTAAGGCTGTTAAATGCCTCTGGTAATTTCCCTATTGCCTCATTAAATATTTGAGTTTTCTTACAAAATATTATTATTATAATAATAATAATAATAGGGTACAAATGAAAAGATTTTCCGTTTCACTGAAGCAGACATCAAACGTGTGAGAGTGTTATCTCATCCTCAAGCTTCCCTTTCTTTTTCTCACTGAGACCCATAGCATCTGATTTATCTCTCATCTTCCATCACAATCAAAACACAGGGCATAACATTGACACCATAGTTTCTTGGCCTTTTGGGTAAGATCAAAATATAATATCTATTCTTATCAGCTTAACCTGACTCTCTCTCCAAAATTATCTTTCTTTCATTTTCTCAATGTCTTCCATCAGCTTGGCTGATGCTATCCTCCAGTTAAGTGACTCATTGCATCTTCTCTGGCTAACGTTCTCAGCTGACATCAGGTGGAAAGACTACATTGAATCCATTGCTAAGATCAGCTGCTAAGAAAGTCAGTTCACTGTATTGGGTGAGACAATTTTTCTCTCCGGAATCTATTTTGCATATCTATGTCTACCATTCATCCATGCTTAGAATATTGCCGCCATATATGGTCTCATGCCCCTGCTGTTTACCTGGAGCTCCTTGATAAGATCCAAAGAAGAATCAGCAATATTATTGGCCCTGATCTGGCGGCTCAGTTTCAGTCACTTTCCCACCATCAGAAGGTTGCTACACTGTGCCTTTTTTATAAATACTTTCATGGTAATTGTTCAGATGAGCTCTGATACCTAGACTTCATGAATTTAAGTGCAATACTAGCATCAAGATCTCATCAATTGAACTGGATAGATATAGCCATAAGTTCTATGCTAACAGGTTTTTTTCTCACACTTCTCACTTGTGGAACTCCATTCCAGCTCATTGCTTTTCAGACAACTTCAATCTGCAAAAATTTAAATGCAATGTGAATTGCTATCTACTGTGCTCCTGATTACTCTTTTCTCTTTTTACTCATTACTAATGTTTCTGTTTCTAATTCCACCACACCTGGTAACTCCTTGCATGTTAGTGGTTGTAGTAACTTGCTTGAGGTAATTATATATATATATATATATATATATATATATATATATATGATGAACTCTACCATTTATTTCGATGTATGAGGAGCCAATAACATCATTCTGTTTTGATGTTTGTGTCCTATGTGACACTTTAGTCCTACTAGTGACCTGCATACAAATCCACATATCATGCAACAGCAAGGATCCGGAGACATAGTAACAAGAATATTTGCTGATGCTTTTCAATATTGTCTTTCATATGTACAATATGACCTTTTCTTTTTAATTATATTTGTGTTTTGGGGGTTGTTTTGCTTGCCTGTACAACAGAGAATCTGATTGAAAACCAAAATGCTGGTATCCACAAGAAATTGCTGCTGTTAGAATTTTTATATACATTTTATTTCTGGTAAATGACAGTTTCAGGTTTTTCTCAAAATGTGGCAGCACAACCAGGCAAAAATGCTGTAGTGTAAATGCCAACAAAAATAAGATGAAAGAAAAACTAGACTTAAAAATGAACAATAGCAGTGGCCATTAACCTTCTGGAGTTGATTTTGTTTGCAAAGTAAAATGTTATCCTGCCACTGCAGGTCACTCAGATGAATGATTGATAGCATGTTTGAATTTTGCAGTTGTGTTGTCATATTCTACTATGGCAACAAAAAATAATCATGATTGAAATTAAGTAGTGCAGTAGAGTAGCCTTGAAAAACAATGCAGTGGAAAGGAAAGTAGTGAATAATGCAGAGTGTTAAAGGTCAAATTCAATGTCTCATTTTTTTTTTTCGAATTAAGATTGAAAAACTTACCAAAGAGGGAATACCTGCTTTATGAGCTCGTTCCAAACCCTTCACGTTGGCCTTGTTGGAAATGACTAGGACAATCTGGGCTGAGCTTTTATTACCTGGACACTGGGTGTGGTCAATAAGTGCTTGTAAGTTGGTACCTGATAATAAAGTCATTTAAAAATTGTATCTTCTGCAGGTTCAAGACAAAAGCAAAAAGGATGACTTGAAGAAAATGTTAAGATTTGTAAATAAATGTATTAATCAGTGACAAACAAAAGACGAAAACAGGTTATAAAGTGGATGATTTTTTTTTTAAGTGTCACTTCCGGTCTAAAAGAATAAATTGATAAGGTCAATCTACCAATGCACCATCCAACCTAATAGAGAATATAAAAACTAAAATTATTTTTTTTTTTTGATTCTGTACAAAGAGAAAAGCTCATCAAATACTCAAGACTTATGGAATACCAACTAAAATAGTGTTCTTTATCAATGTGTTATGCACAAGAACTATCACCAGATAGGGATATAGAATTAAAAAAAAAAAATCAATTGAATGATTTTTATATCTGCGATCATTGATGAACTCACAAAAAGTTAAAATTGCAATGGCACAGACAGACATAAAAAATCTGGTAGTTAAAAATGAAAAACAAAAAGCCTGAAAGTGCAACACTTTAGATAAATATTCATTGACAAACATAGAATTTCATGAGCCTCCACCAAAAAAACAAACAACAAAAAAAGAAAATCCCAGTGTCAAACAACATTATTCCCTTAGTCCACTATGTATGCTGCCATTAATGGGCAAAAACTAATATGTTTGTGTATTCTAAATTAATTCTTAACTGCCACGTATGATCATTAGTTAGAATGATACATCCATCATTATAATTGTTTCCCCCCAAAATAGAAATTACTTCTGACTCAACCTTAAGTTGTCTGTGTTTATTCTCAAATATTGTGTAAAACTGATAAATGTAGCTTTATCATTTATATCTACTAACGTATGTCTTATATCTTGCCCAACTTAGTAGTACTGAGCTGAGATAACTAATTTACAATTCAGTTTTAAAAATCAAATTACTAAAAATAAATTTCTTATTCATTTTCCATCTGGTCTTTTGGGGTTTTTATTAATGAGTGATCTACATTGTTTAGTTACTCAAAAAGAAACTATTTGCTGTCTTGAATGTGATAGTCAACTTAACCTTTATATTACTGATTACCTCCCTTTACTCGGCTCGGATTGAGGATTTGGAAAGCAAAGTTTGAATTCAAGTCGAATCCATTATATTCATATATGTGCTAATACCCTTGGTAAATGTATGAATACTCTTCTTCTTCCCCAGCTATGAGTAAATAGCAGGACAGACTGGGTTCTATAGCCTTGGATGGTAACTGGTCTACCACAGAAAGAAATGGCAACCTACTGCAGGGAAAAAAATCTGCCTTGTCAGTCATGTATTGAGAGATACATGATCGCCTACACGTGTACCATGCATGGCACATAAATAACTGAATCTCAAGCTATATATATATATATATATATATATATATATATATATATATATAAATATATAAAAAGGGAAGTAAGTAGTGCTGACATTTTAATACTACATTTAAAATGTCAAAAGGACGGTTTTTCCCATAACACCACTTTTTATTTTAACTACTCCTTGGCAATGTCCGTTTGGGGAAAAAAAAAGATGAGAATTGTAATAAAATCTAAAGATATGATAAAAGTGAATTTATATATTTTTTTTTTCTTTAGAATTTACAACAAAAATATTAAACACTATTTGTTTATTAGATTGTTTATTTACAAGAATAATTTTATATTTACAACATTCTAAAAACTAATACAATTTTCTAAGACTAATGTAATGCAATATTTATCATTTACCAATTTATAATGAAATAGATATGAAAACAATTTGTTCATAAATTTTTAAACCTTTACTAAATTATCAAAATATGTGAACTCTTTATTTACTATTTTATCAAGTTTGAATCAATTAGCAATTAGTTGATGTTTTGCCAACATTCCAATAAATAACCAAATAAATAGGGTTTATTATTTTTGCGGACAATTCTCAATAACAAAAAAAAAATTGTATAGATTCAATTTTATCACATATCTACGTTTTATTACAATTATAATCATTACTTTTTAAAAACAAACAGTGTTATTGATCTGGGTACTTGGTTAGTGAACAATAACAAATAAGATTCAAAATCTTCCCAGTCAGTAGATGTATGTACTTGTAAAATCCATAAGAAGCAGTAGCAGCAACTTACCTGAACCAGATATCAAAACAGCGACATTTTTCTTTTTCTCACAGTTTTCAAATTTATAACAATGTTGTAATGAAGTCTCCAAATTCTGAATTGAAACCCTTTCAAAATCTACAAAGAAACAAGAAAAAACATCAATAAATAAAAACAATAAGGCTGCAAATTCCAGGCGGCATTTTTTTTATGATATATTTAATAGCCTTATTCTGTCAGTAACACTTACAGATTTATTATATTAACACTGTCTATAACATTAACCTTTAACACACTGTATTATTTACCACTTTCCTTTCCACTGCATTGTTTTTCAAGTCTCCTCTACTGCACTATACAATTTCAGTCATGGTCATTTTCTGTTGCCATAGCAGGATATGACAACACAACTGCAAAATTCAAACATGCTATCATTCATCTGAGTCACTTTAATATCCCAAAGTTGGTTTAGAAAACTGAACTCTCCTTTATGTTCTTAATTTATTTACACCATCAGGTGTATAAATCCATAAAAGCCTTTATTTTATGATAAAAAAAAAACAGTGACAGAATTCACAAAATATTTTTACATGATACAATGTGGTGGGGAGTGAAAGGTTCTCAGCCCAATCAAGAAAAGATTTGAAATAAATATGCAATTCAGTACTCTCATATTTGTATGTCTATATATTATAGACAAGAACTTTTAAACTCTGATTTAAATTTTTTTTAAATTTAAATGATAACAAAATTAAAATATAAAGAAACTAAATGAAATTGGTGAGACTATATACGCAAACAAAAAAAAATTAAATTTAAAAGTTTAAAATTTCAGTGTCCCCCTCTCCTTCATGCACTTATATATATATATATATATATATATATATATATATATATATATATATATATATAATTGAATAAAAATATTAAAAATGAAAATCTTCAGACACACTGGGTTATATTAATATTATATTAATATTCCTTCGTTTTTATTATTATTTCATTTAGATTCTTCGACTAGTTTCGGCCAACATCAGGAGAAAAATAATTTTCTGTTTGCTGGTAGCAGTGAACTACAGAAATGAATGTCTTGATGGAGAAAATGAACTTTTGTTCAAGTATATAAATATATATAGTGTGTCTGTGTCGTTTGTGTGTTAGTCAAAGATTTCAATTTGCTGTAAAATTTTCAGCCTGATCCACTTCACAAAATTTTACCATTTTTTTTCAATCCAGTCTTGTTTGGGCAATATAAAATTGGAAACTGAAAACAGTAAAATAAGTTGGTAATAGTTACCTCCCTTGTTTACCACGGTTCCAACAATGCACCCATTTTCATCTGCTTTGCTCAAAGCCTGGGCAACAGGCACAACATTTTGCTGACTGACGATAAGAATTCCACCTAAACCACAATTGTAGGTCTTGACCATTTCAGCTGCAGACACTTTACCCTGGACAAAAAAAAAAAAAAAAAGAAAGTGGAAATTAGTCCAATAGTTAAAAGCTAATAAACAAAAATGTAATAGTAATATAAATAGTTTTTGTGTATAGAAAAGGAAAAAAAAAAAAACGAATTATGAATCACAAGATGAGAAAGAAAAGGTTAATTAGTACATTTTATGCATGTGGTAAAATATAATTTCAAGTTATGCTACATTTATTGGGTAAAAGGGTAAATATCCAGGATTGACCATGTGTAAATACAAGAAATGTGGATATTGATGCAAAAACTGAGTGGCGACTGTCGGTTTCATACTTGAATACACACCTCCCAGTGTCGGATCCTTTGTTTCGGCGCCAACAGTGACGTCGCTCCTCCTGGTCGCTCCTCCTGGGTCCAAGCGTGCCCGCTCCAACCCTTTGGTCAGATGATCACCAGCCTCCTTTCCCGACAATACCTGGTCACTAAAAAACTATACCGATCTCATGTTTAGATCTTAGACAGAAAACAAGTTGAGTCCGTGCACCAATTGTTATTGATTTTAAAAAAAAACATATATAAAATATATTTGTCAAACAGCCCGCTAATTATACTTTATCTTTTCCGCCTTCTTGGCGCCCTCTGTGAGCCAAAAGCAATTGTCCCTCTTTTATATAGTCGAAAAATAATATCCATATGCACTTTATCATGTGGATATCTTATAAAAACCCAAAAGACAAAAAATTTCATTTCTATTGTTCTAAACCAAATTGATAAGGAGTCTCTCCAAAGATGCTTTGACGATATCTGGCTTCCATCAAGACCCGTTTGATATCATGTCTTTTTCCTTTCTTTCTTCTTATTATTTATAATTCTATTCTTCCAATTGTCTTTCGAAAATCGGCCAAGACAAATCTTTTCTGACTCCTATCTCCACCCTCAATTGGGTCAATTTTTTCTCTCTTCTTCTTTCTTTTCTTTTTTTCTTTTCTTTCCTTCTTCTTCCCTTAAGATCGTCTAGTACAATCTTAGTGAGTTATTTTCAACTCAGTTATTTTCCGTTTTAAAAAAAAAAATCAACAACCTGTTTAGTAACCACATATTTCTAGGAATATTTCTAATAATGCAAGGTGCCACACTTGAATAAATTTTCATGTGTCCACACTTCTTCATGGATATATATATATATATATGCATCACACAACTAGATCTTAAAAAGACAACCATGAAAAGAAATTAACACCACTTAACAACAAACCCCTTGAAAATGGCTAATGAAGTGGTCAAAAGTGCTTTGGACAAAACACCCTATGGACAATTTTTACACTCCCTTATTCCCATCAAATGGAAAAATTTAAGAATGCTAGGGAAACTTAATAAAAATTTTTCCTTGTTTGTCATATTCAACAAAACGTATTTGAAAGAAAGGTTGCTGCCCAAATATGTGTGTGTGTGTGTGTGTGTGTATATCTATACAGGCAGCATATCATCATTCAAGCATGTTTGGTTTAATAATCTAGACATTATGTCTATTTTTATTTTAATCCTTTCAAATTCACAGATCCATTTCTTAAATGTTGTTATTAAACTCATTCAGGAAGAAACCATAGTTTTTTTTAATTTCTTTTATTTTACCCAAGTACTTTCAATCTCACCGAAGGTCATCTTCAGGAGCGAATTGCTAAGACAAAAAAAATTAACGTAATTGATAGTTGTGATTTTTTTGTAAATGTGCATGAAACATTTCTGTTAATTAAAAAATTAACATTATCTAAGGGAGGTAACTTAATTTATATATGTAATTTTTTTTTAAATTACAAGTATTTTAAAACTTTGCTGTTATTGACATTTTAAAACATTATTGTTATACTCATAATTAGTCTTAATTTAGTGTTGGTTGTATTTTTTATATAGAGGGCTTCAAGGATTTGAAATGTTTTTATGGTGGAGTATACTTGTATTGTCAATTAATATTTCTCTAAATTGTGGATGTGAACAGGAATGTTTCTTTAACTGTTTTGCAATAGAGCTTGAATCTGACATATGTATTGTAAGTCTCCTCAATACTGTTGTTGTGAAATCAACATATACATTTACTTTTTTGTTAAAAGATACAATTTCCCAAAGGACATTTAAAATGATATACAATGTTGGTCCTTTGCAAAACATTAGTTGAGAGAGAAAGGTTATTGTGGATGATTAAGTTGGTTCTATTAAATTTAGTATAGTATATAATTAGTTTTATTTTTTTTTACTGTGATCAGTGGGTGATATATTAGTACTTATGAGTTTTTCATCTTGTTTGTAGTTAGAGTGCATTTGATTCCGGTATAGTAGGTTGATATATTTAGGACTATTTGAGAAAGTATTATTTTTTTTTTTATTCTTGTTCTGTGTTGTTGGCTGTAATCAGTTTGTTGATTGTTTTTGTTGGCCAATAGGATTTTTGCTGACTTTTTAAAATTTGGTGTGATTGTCAAGTATTTGTTGTAATTTTGAATTATAATCAGATGTATTTAAAACGACAGAAACATTGGTTTTATCTGCTTTTTTTAAAAAATTATATAAGCATGCTCATGTAGATCCTTGGCAGTGACTTTTTAATTGTTTTCTTAGGAGCTTGAACAAGTTTTTTCTTTTGTCATGTCTGTCTTTTATTGCTTCAGCTTTGAGTAGGTCACAAATTTCTGGTTTTATTTTTATTAATTGTTCTTCTTTAAGGTTTTGTATGTTTTGATATATCATTTCTATTTCAGTTTTTTTTTATTCAATCTATTGTATTGTCTGTAAAGATGACAGTTATGTCCAAAGTTGAGCAATTCCTTTGGGCAATTTTTTAGTTTGTAGTTAGTTATCCTTATTATTTGGAAGTTAAATAGTTCCTTTGTATATTATACTACAATCAAATGCACAACAAGATGAAAAACTACAAACGAGATGAAAAAATCCCCATAAATAGTAATATAGCGCCCACTGATCACAGTAAAAAAAAAAAAAAAAAATAAAAATGATTATATACTAAATTTAATAGAACCAACTTAATTATTCACAACAACTCTTCTTAGTCAACTAATGCTTTACAAATGACCAACATTGTATATCAATTTAAATGTCCTTTAGTACATTGTATCTCTGACAAAAAAGTAAATATATTCAGGAGACTTACATTACATATGTTGGATTCAATCTCTATTGCACAACATTTAAAGGAACATTCCTGTCCACATTCATAATTTAGAGAAATATTAATTGACAATACAAGTATACTCTACCAAAAAATAAAAAACAAAATCTTCAAATTCTTGAAGCCCTCTATATATTATTACTTAAATTTTAATTACAAAGAAAAAAAAATTCCAAATATAAATTAAGTTACCTCCCTTAGATAACTGTTGAACTAACAGAGTGTGTTTCATGTGCATTTACAAACAAATTCACAAATATCAATTACATTAGTTTTTTGTCTTAGCAATTCACCTCTGAAGATGCCCTTGGATGAGATTGAAAGTACTTGGGAAAATAAAAGAAATGAAAAAAAAAAAAACTATGGCATCTTCCTTAAAGAGTTTAATAACAACATCATGAAAATGAAAGGATTAAAATAGACATAATATGTCAAGATTATTAAACCAAACATGCTTGAATATATATATCTGTATCTCACTCATCAAACATTATTTTTTTTGGATACTCATATTTGAGTAGACGTTCAGTTTATTTATTAAGCAGTATATTTATGTTTGTTACCAGCCTGGATATTCAAGAAATCTTATTAAATAAAAATATGCCATAAAGCGCATATTTTTCTCTGATGAGCCACTACCTATTACCCCACCCATACTTGCTAATATTTTTAATTTTTTTAATCATTTGATCCTAGGCAAGTCAATAATGTCGCTAGAATGCAAGGGGTTATGAGGAGTGAAAGAGAATGAGAAGATTTTAATGAGGAGAAAGGACAATAGAAGAACAGGATTTGACAAGAGAGAATATGGCAATGGGTACTGCATTTAAATATTTGAAGATTGTAGGTGGCAGGGAAGCAAGAAATGGGAAGTGAGTTCTACAAGCAAAAAATGTAAGAAAAAAAAAAACTATTAGAATAAAACAGATGGTTGCATCTAGCTAGTTCAACAGTAAAATGGTGAGACCTAGTTGCCAATCTAGTAGCAAGCTTCAATTCATGCAGGTGAGGCATCAAGGAGGAAAGTTCACCAGAACAATTCCTATAAAAATATTTGTAGAAAAGACAGAAGGAAGCCATGACCCATTAGTGAGAAAGTGACTGAAATCAAGATTTTTTTTTTTTTTTTTTTTATAAAGATAAAAAAGGTTATTGCAACTTACATTTTGCTGAAGCCAGCCAAAAATAGGAGGGATGCTCCAGGAACTTGCATCAATTTCCACAGCCAAATGGTTTGGTAGAATCCTGACAATGTTCTCCACAAGACCTCCACCCGTAATGTGAGCAAAACCTTTAATGAGGTTTTGTTTCATTAATGGCAAAAGAGATTTGACATAGATTTTTGTTGGAATCAGTAACTCCTCACCTGAAAAGAAAAATAAAATTGATTATATAGTTTTTTTTATTTTTTATTTCCTGTCAATCGGACAATCTCATTTTCTTTTTTTAATGATTTTCAGTGAATGACATTCTTTTTCTATGTAGCCTTCAGGATATTTGCGACCATAGGTCTCCCTAATTTCCTATCTTTTGTAGCTTAATAAATTTTGTATTTTTGTTATCTTTCCTAAAACTTGCTCTGCCATCCATTTACTCGAGATCATTATGATTGTCATGTGTTGTTTTCCTCTGGCTTTCCATATTTTCCTAGCCTTCTTTCCTCATTCACAGCTGTTTAAAACCCTTGTTTTTGTCATATAGGAAAATCCAACATGGCGCGTAAACGAAATATTCGGCAAAAAATCTCATTCGTTAGTAACATTTTAAACACCTCATAGAATGTAAAGTTCTTAAAGAAAACCTATGCCAAAGTGTTTTCCTGAATCCTTGATGACTTGGCTGTCCGAAAATGGTAATATCAAGATGAAATAATGGAAACTGACTGTGAAAAATACAATTATGCGCAACAGGTTTTCGATCAATTAGTAAACTTCTGGACCTTTTAGGGCGACCTTATAGGATCCAGACGGCTATTTTTTGCACATGGAATTATTCACTGGTAATTAATCTTCGATTTGGCTGTGGAAAATGTCACTCGGCGGTTACCATTAATAAATTATGCCCAATTTTCTGAGAAAAATCCCCTTTTTTTTTATGAAAAAATATTTATTTTCGCTTCAAAATAACACCATTCAAAATTCATTCCTTTCTCTTTCATTTGGCATGAACATCATTGAATAAAAAGAACGGCTAAATGGGCCGGCGACGGGAAATACGAAAGATATGTGGTGAAAAAAAAACAATGTTGGCTGCTAAGTGTTGTTGTCATCACCGGGTCACGGGGTGTTAAAAACAAAACAAAACTCATCAAGCCATTGTTCAAACATAGGTTATGAAGCCCTAGTAATTGTGAACCCTTTTTTTTTCTTTTTTTTTTTCACTCTTTGCTTTTATCTGGGAGTGGTGGGTTTTATTACAACTTGTTCTAAGGTTTGCCATCCGTTTATTGCTGGCTGGCTGACCTTTGACCTAGACGTCAAAGTCAATTAGGTTTATTTTCCCTTATCGCTATTTTTAGGGAAAAAAAAACTTTTGGTTTCTGGTGGTTAGGAATTGCAGATAAATCTCTTGCCTTTTACTAAAGATTTCCGTGGCCAGGTGTCAATTTTTTAACCCTTGGCAGTCATATAATTGAAAATTAACAATGGATTTTGTCGCATTTTGAACCCCCTAGGAATGTTGATTTCCTTCAAAACTCTCAATTTTATGCCTGAAATAGTTTGATTATGATTTAGGCTTTCTGATTTTCAAAAAAAAAAAAAAAAAAAAAATGGTTAATTTCCCATTAATGGGGGAAATATTTGTTTAGAACAAGAAAAAAATGCAAAATTTTCACTATTTTTTCACATTTTACCCACTGAAAAAAATTTTGAGTCATTTACACCAGCTAATTTTACTTTTAAATGAAAGAATATATCTTTTGCTTTCAGAAAATACCTAGTTTCATGGGGTTCAGATCAAAAGTTTCCTTGATATTAGTTTAGGTGATGATAAAACAGTCATTTTTCAATATTTTACCCCTAAAAAAGTATGAAAACCCATATTTTGAGAGAAAATAAGCTGTGACAAAATGACTTTTGCTATTTTTGTGATGATTTTCACTTGGGAAAGAAAATTTTTACCATAGGAAACCTGAATTGACTTTATTTAAGTTTAGTTCTGTGGAAACCTCAAACAGCTGTGCATTATGTACCTTAGAAATTTCAACTGTCTCTTCCTGATGATAAATATAAGTGTACTTTCGAAATATAAGTGTCCTTTTTGACATACACTTTAGGTGCTAAAATTTGCTCAAACAAATTTAAAAAAAAAAAAAAAAAAGAAAATTAATTTCTGCCCCCAAAAAAATATTTTTGTTTAAAATGGCAAAAAAAATATCTGCTGATTGGATACAAATAAAGTTGGCTGTAAATACAACACTTATTCTGCCTCGTGTATCACAATTTGTCATGGCACTATATTTTGGGAGAGAAAAAAAAATGCAAACGTTTGATAGAGTTATTTAATAAATCTTATAATAAAACCAGGGTTTTTCAAACTGTGGGTCCCGACCCTTCAGTGGGCCGAAATAATTTAAGCAAGTGACAAAAACACCTATTAATATTTTCCCTACTTTTCACCAAGGTTGGTGAGCACTTTCTAATAAGTACTGGGGTCTGATAAATAATTATACAAATATATTTTATTTATATTTATATTCACTTTTCAATATTGTGTGTGTGTGTGTGTGTGTGTGTGTGTGTGTGTGTTTTGATCATCAACAAAAGGAAGTATTAATTAATCTTTTATTGAATTTTTCCAAATCTCACGTTTTTTTTTAGTTATAATAGTTGTTAACTAAGAACAATTCCTACTTTAACCCTTGAAAAACGGAAAATATTTTCCTGGAAAAACTGTAAAATTAATCAAATCTTTTTACCATTCTCAAAAAAAAAAAATATATATATATATATATATATATATATATATATATATATATATATATAGTCTGTTCTCATCATGTTTATTTTGTGTTAAGAACAAAAGAATTTCTACTACTGAGTAAAAAAAGGCTAATTACTATTGCCTTTCTACTTTAAACTTTTTTTTCGTAACTCAATTTAAGATGAAAGCCTGAAACAGGCTCAACACTGTATCTGATAAGCGTGTGCAATTTTCCTTTTATGGACAAAACAAAACATCCAATTAAATAACATTTTGTTTTTCAAATATTATTTGCTTAACCTTTGTGTAAGAATTTTCTTTAAATTTGTTTTTCTAAAAGTAATAATTTTATATTCATCCAAATAGATAATTATATGCAAAATATGTGCAGATCATAAAGAAATATACATTAAATAAATGAACTAAGTGAACACCTTGAGTAGGTATAATGGGTTATACAAAATGGTGGGTTGCAAAAAAACGTTTGAAAGACATTGGGTTAAATAACTCTTTATAGTATGACACAAGGGCAACTTGAGAAAATTGTTTTTATCTGTCTTTCAAGGAAGGATTTTAAATGGCCAGTTACTAATGGGTAAGTCTTGTCTTAAATTATCCGTTTTGGATTTTTTTCTGGTATTTTGAACCATAAATTCTCACACTTCTCTAAATGAATGATCAAAAGTCCTGTTGCCCATTAAGGTAAATGCGGACATCACATGTACTGCAACCATAGAAAGCAGATATGTCAATGAAGATAGACTGAGTTTCAAATCCAAATTTTTCCTCCTTCTAGATGTTTTTTTTGCCAAGAGATTTTCAGATTCACATTACATATGGTACATGTCTAATTGAAGTTGCCCTATGTCTTTTTACATCCAGCTCAATTACAATTTAAAAGCATTGTTGCCACAAAGCCTTGAGTCAAAAGTCTGCTGTGAGTCTCAACAGATTGCAACATCAGACCGGAATCTTGGTCAACCAACCCAGCACATGCATCAACTCCAGGTGCTATTCATGATCCAAGTCACTTTCTTTCATTGACAAAGACATTCCACTTTGATTTTCTTTATTGACAATACAAAGAATTTTATCTTAAGAATTTTTGTCTCCTTTTTACCTCACTGGTGGTTTTTTGTTTCATTTTATTCTCTTGAACATAATTTTTAACAGACTTGGTTAAATCAATCTACACTATATTTGAAAGAGGAAGATAACTTTTCAATTTAAATCCAACATTTCCACTGCATGAAAAATTTATTTAAAAAAAAAAAAAAAAAAGGGCAATTTTCTCTTCTAGAGGACCTCAAATATTTATCACAAGTCAAAACAAGATTGCCAAAGTGCCTTAAGCCTTCATCTTGTCCATGTCATTTCATCAATGATTTTTAGCCTCAGCATATGTGGGAAACAGCAAGTTCTGGACCTAGTAGAGATAGGTGAGGTGGTTTTAATGAAAACCTTACACAAGGATAATTTATTTGGGTCAAATCTGTGAATGTGATTACTAATGTAAAAAACTCAGTAGCATTACTCAATTGAGAGTGATCATGCATATGCAGTAAGGTCCTTTCTTATTGGGTGCAGATTACTTCAAATACATAACCAGTCTGTGTTATTCAAAATGGCTGTATACTTTCCATCAGAAATTGATGCTGATTGAATCTTAACAACAATCTCGACTTACAACAGGAGAAAGCATGTCATATGAAAGGTTGTTGATTTAGACAATTTCTGGACAAAGGCTAAAACCATTGCTATGATGCCAACAATCACCACATCTCCAGTCTGATCAGAAGTTTTTCTACAGCCCCAACAGCAAATCCAGCAACGTCATATTCTCCTGATGTGTACATGCCAGCCATTTCAGCAGTTTCACCACCTGTAAGAAACAAGTTTTTAATATAAAACGACCTTTAAAATCAGAATACTAAAGGACATTTCATACATACACACACAAGTTGCAGATCAAATGTGGATCAGAATCTAACAGGATGGTAAAATAAGGAACAATTAAGAAACATATCAGTCTAACATGTTTCCCTTTTATTAAAGCTTCATCAGAGATTGATAGAAAATAGACAAAAAGACAGAAGCACTGGTATTTTCGATTATGTTTGGGTCAGTTCTCATTGGTCAGACATGTGTTATGTGCTATAAACTGTAGATAATTCAGTGTGTATGTAAGTTTGTGTTTTAGCAAAAAAAATAAAAAATGAAAACTCCTTCCAGCAAAGTATTTTGTTTCTTGGAAATATTAAATTTAATCTATTAGCTTGAAATTTAAAGTAAAATAAAAGCTTCAAGAAAGATTTTTTTCATTTTTAAAAATTCATTTTAAACCTTAGGTATCATGAATCTATGGAGGGAGCTAATTAAGTCTCTTGTAGAAAAATACAAACAAACTAATAATTTTTACTGGGTGAAGTTTTGGTACAAGATTCATAAACAAAATATATTTACTCTACTACTGTTGATTAAAATAAAGAAATTTCTTTTCTTTTCTTTTTTTTTGAGGTTTCATAGTGTTTTTTTTTTTTTTTTTTTTTTGGGCTTAGTCTAATTTTCTCCCTACGGAAAAATAAAACCTTAAATTCCATATGACAAAAAAAAAAAAAGTAAAAAAAAAAAGGAATCAATTTTTATCGCTAGCCACAACTAATTTGGAGTCTCCCATGTGACCTAAAACATCAATAAATATGAAACTTCATTCAACTACAACAGTAAATCTTACTAGTTTATCAGCTCGATACACGAATCCACAACACATTTTCCTGGCTTAAAGTTAATTTTATTTAAAATTTACCACAGCCTGAAAAATACACTCACTCATCTACATAAACTCATTGAACAACAAGTGATGAATTCAGTGAAAGAGAACAACTTTACACAGTTGAGCACATTCAACACCAAAAAAAGAAACTGTTTAATTTTCATACAAACATACAAATACCTTATCAAAGTTACCCATTTTTGCACATTTCATTAACACTTCAAACCAAGCAAGAAAGAACTTTGAAGTAATTTAAACAACTTATACAATACAATTTTGTACCTCAATTGTGTTATATAAAAAATATTCATTGTTAACAAAAAGATTTGTTTCATATCATTATTTCTTTTGTTGTTTGCTTGCTTTTTGTTATATTTGTTGAAGTAAACAAAAGTAGAGGATTAATTAAATTTGCATTAATCCACTACAGTATCAGGAGTTTTCAATGTCTGATATCTTTTTCCTGCACAACTATTTTTATCTTTTTTTTTTATATTCATAAAGACACCACATTTACTAGTTCCTTAAATCTTACCCCATGTTTGTGACTAAATGATTTCTACCTGCATATTACCCAATAAAGTAACACTGCACAAGCAGTTGACAGAAAATTTGAAATTATTTTTAGTGTTTTTTTATTTATATTCATAAAGACACCACATTCACAAACAAAATTATTATTTATTAAATAAAAATGTTATGTGCTTGTCTTTTACTTGTTCCTTAAATCTTACCCCATGTTTGTGACTAAGCGATTTCTACTTGCATATTATCCAATAAAGTAATACTGCACAAACAGTTCCAGAAAGTTTGAAATTATTTAAAAAATTAAGGCTATACAGCATAGACAGCTGGACATCAAAGAATTCTCTTTAGAATTTGATAGTTGTGCTGGATACGACAGGTACAAAGACACTGGATACGACAGGTACAAAGACACTGGATACGACAGGGACAAAGACACTGGATACGACAGGGACAAAGACACTGGATACGACAGGGACAAAGACACTGGATACGACAGGTACAAAGACACTGGATACGACAGGGGGACAAAGACACTGGATACGACAGGGACAAAGACACTGGATACGACAGGGACAAAGACACTGGATACGACAGGGACAAAGACACTGGATACGACAAAGTGGATACGACAAAAGACACTGGATACGACAGGTACAAAGACACTGGATACGACAGGTACAAAGACACTGGATACGACAGGTACAAAGACACTGGATACGACAGGTACAAAGACACTGGATACGACAGGTACAAAGACACTGGATACGACAGGTACAAAGACACTGGATACGACAGGGACAAAGACACTGGATACGACAGGGACAAAGACACTGGATACGACAGGGACAAAGACACTGGATACGACAGGTACAAAAGACACTGGATACGACAGGTACAAAAGACACTGGATACGACAGGGACAAAGACACTGGATACGACAGGGACAAAGACACTGGATACGACAGGGACAAAGACACTGGATACGACAAAGACACTGGACAAGGGACAAAGAGAGCAAAAAGAACAATAATCTTCTAAGTAAATATGATAATGATTGCAACACACAATTTTTTTTTTAATCATTTCACCCCAAACAAGGTTATAATGCCTCTAAGATGCAAGGGTTACTCAGAGTGAAAAAGAATGTGAAGACTTTAATTAGGATAATAAAAGAACAGGATTCAGGAAGACAGAAGATTGTGACATTTCATTTGAATTTTTGAATAATGCAGGAAGTAAGAAGTTGGAAAAATGTTCCACAGGCAAGAATTGCGAGAAAAGAAACTATTAGAATAGAACAGACAGTTGCATTCAGCTAATTCAACAATAAAACAATGAGACCTATTTGCCAATCTAGTAGCAAGCTTAAGTTCATACAGTCGAGACACTAAGAGCAACTGCCATGAAAATATTCATAGAAAAGACAGAGGAAAGCCACATTACAACAGTGGAGAAAGTGACTGAAGCCAGTATGCCAGGTCAGGACCAATAACATTACAAACTCTTCTTTGGATTTTCTCAAGAATCTCGAGATATATATTATGAGCACCAGACCAGCTATAGCAGCAATATTCAATGCATGGACGAATGGTAGATTTATAAATGTGCAGGAAGGATTCTGACAAGGAAAATTATCTGGCATGACACAGTGAACCAACTTTCTTAGCAGAAGACCGAGCAATTAACACTTCTGCTGCTAATTACGGAGATCTTCGTTTTTCTTATCTTGCCCCAGCTGGCTAAATGTCTGAAACCTACGTTTTTGCATACCGCTGGTATGAGTGTCCCATTGCACAATCTATCGTAAAATCACAAAGGACAATGCTTCAAAAGATATCATGTGTATACCCATTACTGATCTTGTAAGTCATTCCTAGGTATATCCATGAAAATGGAATGCTGTAAAACACACTGGTGCCAGTTTTCTGTGTAATAAAATATGTAGGTTGAAATTTGGCATTTTCTTTAAAATGGCTGGCGGATGGGGGGCAGCACTGGGCAAATGAGTAGCAGTGAAAGTGTTAATTCAATGTCATCACTCTACTTCATGTGAGACCAAGAAGTCACAATAATTTGCTCTCGTGGAGGTTAGCATCAGCCATACTGATGGAAGGTATAAAAAGTTTCTCTATGGTGAGTAAAAGATAATAGTACAAGCCATTCCTTTCCCCAGGTTTTACCCCAGTTAAAATATATGAAAAGGTTTTAACATTATTATATGATCAATTACTAGATATCTCTTAAATTCATTAAGCTTCTAGTAACATCAAATGGAGCCCTGCTTTGATTCAAGAAAGCCTTTTGCTCTTTGTTATTTTACTGTTAGGGTAGAAAACAAAATAAATAAAAGATTGTCATTTTAACAACTTGATACTTAAGAAAAAAAAAAAGAAAAAAGAAAAGAAAAGAAAAAAAAGAAATCTGGCTAAAATGAGAAGGGAATTTGAAAAACCCTCTGGTAATAATAAAGTCAAACTCACCAACAAGGGCACAGCCAGCTTGTTTACAACCTTGAGCTATACCTTCGATTACATCCCTTGCTTGTGCAACATCCAAATAGCCACATGCAAAATAGTCAAGGAAAAAGAGCGGCTCAGCTCCATGGGCAAGAATGTCATTCACAACCATGGCAACAAGGTCGATGCCAATAGACTTATGGAAACCAACAGCCTGAGCTATCTAGAAAAAATAAATATTTATTTCAATATTATCATTTTAGAAACAAATTACTTATAATTGTTTTACAGTGTCAATTTTAATTACAATTCTTAGTTTTTTTTTGTACTTTTTAAAACTTCTTGACAGCATTATGACGGATTTTTATTAAAAAACAAAACCAAAAAAATGAAAATGAAAACAACAAAAAACAAAACAATGAAAAGAAAAAACATTGATATTTTTTCAGAAATGTGGTGATTGGTGAGCAGCCTCCTTGTATTTACTGTTTCAATTACAACATTCAATACAACTGAGGAAGTTTGTAAAGCACACCATCCAAAACAAAATAAATGGAAAAAAAAAAAAAAATGCAAGATAAGGATGTTAAGTCTAATAATTTATAAAATAATGTTATCATCTTTAGTATTCTTCACTGATTAGTGAGTTAGGTGCCTAATATCATGTAGGACCTCCACCCCAGTCCAAGCAAAGTGCAGCAAGTCAATGTGGCATCAATTCTACAACTGGTCAGATAACCTCTACAGAGATCTTGAGCCATACCATCTCAATAGTTGCTCACAGTTCCCTGATCTTGCATGTGAATAAATCTCTCCATTGCATCTTGTAAATGGTCAGTGGCTCTCTACTGAATGAATGTGGCTGCCACACCATTGATCAAAAATCAGAAGTCTCCAAATGGTTCACCAATTCTGAGGAACCTAGGTCAAGACACAGTGCCTCACCCGTCTGAAATAGCCCATCATTGTTGGGTCTTACAAGCCCTTGACAATGAGCTTGGTTCTAAAAAAGTGCTCAACCAGCCTTGTTTGAATTTATTCAACAAATATGTAAAATATAAATTTATCATTCTTTAATTCAATTTTAGATTGAATATCTAATACTATCATTAGGTTGCTTAGGTGCCGTTTTCTTCTGTCCCTCTTGCCTTTAAAATTTCATGTGAGTGTCATATTTTCCAAGCCCACTTTCCACATTATGTGCCCTAGAAATTTCAACTCTCTCCTTCTGATGTTAAATACAATTGTCCTTATTATTTCCATTCTCTCTAAAACTAGAATTCCTCACATGTTTAGTCTATGGTATTCTCACCATCCTTCTGTAGAATCACATTTCTGTTGTTTCAAATCTCTTCTTCATCTGTGAGGAGATTGTTAAACATTCACTGCCATTTTGAAAGACTGATATTACATAACAATTCAGTCCTCTTTGTTTCTAATGATATTTTCCTGTTACTTAATACTTTCGGAAACATTTGGATTTTGATGTCGCATTTTCCCTCCTTTGTTAAAACATTTCCTAGATATTTAAATTTTCATACTTGCTTGATTTTGGCATCTCCAATTCGTAGTCCGCATGTTGGGCTGTTTTTTTTTTGTTGACAATTATACATTCTTTCTTCTTGCAATTGATATTTAGTCCTTTCTTCTCCCCTTTCTTTCACTGCCTTCTGTAGAAGATTTTGTAGCTTCCTTTCCATGTCTGCTATCAACACTGTCTCATCTGCATATGTTATGTTGTTTAGATTGTGACCGTCACTAATAAAACCTGGTAAGACTTCTAATTCTTTTGAAATCACCTCATCATCTAGGTTGAATAAGACCAGTGAGAAAATACATCCTTGTTTTACACCCCTTTCTATTTTTGATATTTACTGAATTCATTTTCTATCTGTATATAGTCAGTGCACTCCTAGCATAAGTTCTGGGTTATTCTAATATCTTTTCTAAACAAAAATTGGCAAACTTGGACCTTCATGCCAGAAAAAAAAAAATGAAAGAAAAAGAAAAAAAAAGACGAAAGGACAGTTTTTCCATTGTCACTGCTATTATTTTAAGTATCTCTCAGTAATGTTTATTGTCATAAAAAACGATGATTAGAATTGGAATAAAACCTAAACATTTGATGAAAGTGAATTTATACATTTTTTTTCTTGAGAATTCACAAAAAATTATGAGATTGTTTATTTAAAAGAATAATTTTATATTTAAAACTTTCTAAAAACTAATACAATGTTCATCATTTACAAATTTCTAAAAAAAATAAATATGAAAACATTTTTTTATTAATAAATTTATAAACATTTACTAAATTATTAAAATATATGAACCAACTACAAAGAAATCCCTATTTACCATTTTATAGAGTTCAAATCAATTGGCAGTTAGCTGATGTTTTACCAATCATTCCAATAGACAATTGAATAAATAGCGTTTATTACTTTTGTTGTCAATTCTGAAGAACTAAAATGTATAAATTCACTTTGATATGTTTAAATTTTATTACAATTTTAATAATTGCTTTTTAAAACGATAAATATTGCTGAGATATGAAGGTAGTTAAAATAATAGGGGTGTCAATAGAAAAACTGTCTTTTTGATGCAGTTTTTTTGCTGGTATGAAGGTTCAAGTTTGCCCCAAAATTATTAAAAAATTTTATATTTGTTTTTAATAAGTGGCCAAGTTAACCTTATTGGTGCTTTCTCTTTTCTTTAAAAAAAAAAAAAAAAAAAATTACCTTTAATTTGGTGCCTACTCCATCTGTAGCAGAAACAAGCAATGAATTACTGGAATAGCTGGCCTGTTGAAGATTGAAAATTGCACCAAATGAACCAAGAGCAGCATCACAGCCAGGTCGTCTAGTTGATTTGGCTAGAGGTTTGATTAATTCAACCAAGGAATTTCCTGCAGCAATATCTACCCCTGCTTCTTTGTAGGACAAACCAGTTCCAATTGAACTAAAAAAAAAAAAAAAAAATTCTCAAAATATATTAAAAATTCAAATTAAAAAAAAAGAAAAGATGTTTAGTGTTTTTTTTTTTATACTGATAGTTCACCTAAGGGCCACTCAAAGTCGATGGTTACTGAGTGAGATTGTAAGGGAGGGGAGACATGAGAAAGTACTAGTAGGATATATAATCAATTGACTGTGGACTTAAGGAGACCAAGATTGTAGTTATCAGGCAAGCGTTCTCTTGGGAGTTTGCTCCACAAAGCAATAGTTCTATCTTAATATTAAAGCTGAATCAACAGGATTGAACTTTTTATCAACTCTGTATTAAGAACATAGAAATAATACTAATCTCTAAATGCTAAAGTTTATGAAAAGCAAATAATTTTAAATGAAAAACTACAACAACCAAAAATTAAAAATGGCGGCATATTTACAAATGATAATAACTGGCTACAACTGAAAGAAAAGAGTAAAAGGAAAAAAAAAAAAAAGAGAAAAAACAAGAAGTGAGTATAAAAGTAGAGGGGGGGGAAAGAACAACAAAGAAAAGGATAAATGATAATTACAATCTACACATATTCACATCCATGCAGATGGGCACATGCATGCGAACATACATCCGCACAGACGGGCACATGGATGCTTGTGCACAAACAAAACATAGGAACACAAACAATACAAAAAAAAAAAAAATTACACCAATGATAGGTGCATAAAAAAGAAAAATATAAACAGTCAATTGCTGATACCCCCCTGAAGAGTGAATGGACTGGTCCACCTACAAAACTCTGGAGTTGGGATGCTGACAGTAACATTAATCAGCTAAGTCCCAAATATATATATATATATATATATAGGGTGTCTCAAAATAATGTATACACTCTTTGAATTGTCATAACTTATTCAATTTATGTATTTTGACTATATGATTAATACAAGAGAAAGAGTACAAATTTAAAGAATTTGAGAGTAAAATATACAAAAAACATAGAAAATTAACTTTAATAAGATAAAAGCTACTTGGGGCAATAGCAGAATATTCATATTATGATGAGTTCACATCAAGTGCTCAAATTGGTTGCTGTTCTGTTCAATACACTTTTCATATCTTGAAGAAATAGATGAACAAACGTCCAGTATCATTTCCTCGGGTATTTGAGCACATTCTTCTTCAATTGCTACTCTCAATTCAGCAATTGTTTCAGATTTTCTGCTGCAAACGTTCTCTTTTACAAACCCCCACAAAAAGAAATCCAAGGGTGTCAAATCTGGTGATCTAGGTGGCTATTCAACTGTCCCTCTTTTTCCAATCCATCTGTTTTGCATATTTTCATCCATATAAGTTCTCACATCACGCTAATGTATTATTAACTATTAATATTTAAAGAATGTGTACATTATTTTGAGACACCCTGTGTGTATATATATATATATATATATATATATATATATATATATTACACATACACACAAGGTGCGATGGGTAAAACTGTCACCATTTCATATCTTTAATTTTGCACATGTGCATTGTTTCTGATTTTGTCAACTGCACAGTATAGTTGGGTCAGTTGAGCACCATCTGTGAGAAAAAGAGTGTCATGACGCAATTCACTCAGCCAGAAATTTGAAAACAACATGCTGTACTGCTTGGCATTTGTGCCGGAAGCTCCAATACGAACATTTCAGAGTGTTTAGGTGTCAATATGAGAATAGTGCAGTAATAGGTCCTTCCACATTTTTTTTTTTTTTTTTAAATTGAGCAGAACTTTCTTTCACCGAATGATTTATGAACAACAAGGGAGGTAACTAGCAAGTTAAACCCTCTGCATGGGATGCAGTCAGTGTATTCTAAGCCCTACAGACAGGGTTACACAAGTACAAGCATATCAGTATACAAATCTATCATGTTATTCTACCATCTTTCTCTTAGATATTTTGAGATTATGCAGGAAAACATTGGTCAGCGCTTAATATTTCTACCAACATTTAAAAAGGATCTTATAAAATTATACAATGAAAATTATGGTAGTCATTTTAATACAGCCAATACCAGGTTAACCAAGCTGGAAGTAATAGTAATTCTTTATTTTTTTAAAAATCTAATTCATTAGATGAAACAATATAGGCAATTTATAATTTCTGGCTCAGATTTCTTTCATTTTAATTTGAATTATTTTTATCCCATAATATTATTCATTGTAATTCTTGAATTCTTTTATTAGATAAAACATTGTCAACCATTATTCACTTTTTTTACCTATTTCTTTCATTTTAATTTTATTTACTTTATTTCTACTAATAATATTAGTTGTAGTTAGTATTATCTATAATTTTTATTATTGCTTTTCATTGCAAGTACTGAAGCCATTAGTATAGAGCATGAACTGGAAATAATAAATTCCAGGCAAGAATTGAATTCACATTCGTATTTTTGACTCTGAAAGTTTCAAGTCTTGCCAGGAACTTATTCTCTCTCTCTCTCTCTCTCTACATATATATATATATATATATATATATGGCTGGCCACTTGTATTCAAGGACACTTGTCTACTAGGTTGGCTAACCAATCCCAATTGCAGATGCTTACTCAGGCACATTTGTATTTATTCAACATCCACAGAGCCCATCTGTGGTTTATACTGCAACTATGCTGAGCAGACCTTAGTTACAGTTTTTGGGAAAGAATGTGTCATCTAGCGTGATCAACAATTTGAACAAGGCCATCACACTCAAGCCCTTGGCCACGATGACTTGTGACTTTGTGCTATCGACGGCATCCAAGGGTTCTGTCGACCCAATTTCACTCAACCTGAGGTATGGTTTTCAGGCACTTTGCAAAAGGGTCTGCACAACTGGGATTGATCACTCTAGTCTGATAACATCAGGAAGTCTCCTTCCTGACAAATCGACCATGGTGAGATTTGAACCTGGGTCTCATGGTCAGAATGCAAATGTTCTAACCACTCTGGCACGTACCCATTATATATATGTGTGTGTGTGTGTGCGTGTGTGAGATAGAAATTATTAGAAGGATTGAGATAATCATAATTAGGTAATTCATCGAGTCTAGAAGAAACCTCAACAGAATGCAGAAAGCACTGGACGGCCATTTCGTCCTATATTTGGGACTCATCAGCAGTGCATATCCAATAGCAAGAATTAAAACCCAAACAGTTATGTTATCAAGTAAACTTCATACCAACCAGCTTTGAAGATATATATATATATATATATATATATACACACACACACTTTTTTTTTATAAAATTGCTAGAGGCTAAGGGTACAAGGAGTTACAATAAAAAGTTAAAAATTAATAATGGTTGACAATTTCTCATCTAATAGAGCAATTCAAGATAATATTACTATTACTTCAATGTCCTATGCCACTTCAGGACGTAGGCGATCATGGCTCTCCACAACTTCCTAACTCTTAGGAAAGTTTGTCTTTTTGCTAAATCTCCCAATCCCAGTTCTGCCTACCATTTACACAAGCTCATTAGGGATATTATGTGCAGCATTCCTCTGTTCCTCTTGCCCTCAATATGTCCTGTGAGTCTCAAATTTTCCAAGCACCCTTTCCTCATTATGCACACTAGAAATGTCAATTGTCTCTTTCTGATATTATGTTCTTTTTGTTTCCATTTTCTCTAAAACTTCATCATTGCCCATCTGTTCAGTCCACATCGATGGACATAGATTAAAGGTCTGAGTAGCTGCATTGCAAAAGCAAGTAACATTAACATGAAAGGAGAAGTCAAAAATTAAAAAAATTAATAATTGTTGCCTATGCTTCATCTGAGAAATTCAAATAACATTACGCCAGTAATCATCAAAGTTTGTCTGAGGATCGCAAAAGCATGAAACCCAGGCTCACAAACTCACATCAATTCAACCAAATATATATATATATATATTTTCCACTATCTATATATATATATATATATATATATATATATATATATATGTATGTGGTAATGCTCTGACATGCTTTCATGAACAAATAAACAGTCAGATAACGGGAGAGGGGGTTGCAGTACATATTCTATTTAACTATTTAAATTTCTATGTGACACTTTTATTTACCTTCAAAGAACTGAAGTTTCCATAGTAATTTGTAGAGAACAAATATTTTAGCTAAAAATATCTGTGTTTGAATTTCTGGAATGAGATATTATTTACAGGCAGACTATTCTCCTTATCTTTGTTGTTGTTGTTAATACAATGTTTTGGCCATCATACTCTCCAGCCTTCATCAGGTGTCTGTCGATCTGAGTAACTGACAGGGAATTTCAAAGGTGATTTTTGGGAGGGCTTTGGTTTGGTTTGTTTTACAGCAAGTCAAATCTTTTTTGATGGGGGAGGCAGAGCTGACATAGCAGATGTCCCAAGTGTCACCTTCCTACCCACCCAGATCAACAGGCAAAGCTCTGATTAAAACATCTACATATATAGGAAGCAGGATTAGTGTTGTTATTTCTTGACATGGTGTTTGTTTTTTATCGTGTTACCCTATTAACATGGCCTTCCCTCACTTTCAGTGCATTCCAATGAAATTGAGAATCAGAATGCAACATGTGGTAATCATTGGTTGGTTCATGAAAAGCATGGGTGATAGTCACGTTGTATCTTTACAACAACTCCTATCTTAATAATAAGCCTGATATGTCTGATAACGTAAAACTGGCAGCTGATCTCCAAAATCACCTTCAATCTGTTGTTAGCTGGGGCAAAAAATGGCTTGTAAACTTTAACACTACGAAAACAAAATTGATTTCTTTTATTCATTTTTGAGAACCATTTTTGATTTCCATCAGTATGAGACAAATATCAAATGCTGTAAGCTTGGCAGTGCATGTGCTGTAATAAATAACAACTCCAAATTAGAGATTGAAGAGCCAAGTTCCAATTCCAGTTGGGTTCGTTATATTCACTTATACACAAATACCCTTGAGGAAGGTATGAATTCAATTCTTCTCCCCATTTATGCATAATTATCAGGCG